TGAAGGTGCATATTCCATGAATTCTCGAGTCTTGAGAATCTTGACTTTGTCTTTAGACTATGAGCAGCAACTCTTCTGATTAGCAAATTTTGACTTCTAAACTTGGAGTAGAATATTTCTTCACATGTGTCCAGAGTCTTGACTTCATCTTTAGAATCCAAACAACGGCTCCTCTAATGAACGAATCTTGATTTTTGATCTTCTGTGTTAGAAGCTTGTTTCTTGTATACTCTTAATTTCTGATCTTGTAGAAGCAGCTTATCAGAAATTCTTTCTTCTTAGAAACTTATTGAGAGTCTTTTCTTGTCTAACATTTAGCATTTCATAGAACTACTGATGTTACATTAGAAACAGAACTCAATGATTCTTCTTCTGAGTGGTAATGTGATTATGATGATATCTTGATTTAGACTATCCAGAATTCTAATAATGTATATGCATGCACACTCAATGAAACCATTAGAACTAATATTGTTCTTCATAAAATATATGCTTGTTATCATCAAAACTCACAGATTAAACATAGATTCAAATCTTGTTCTTACAATTTTTTACCCTACAAAAGAAAGTTGAGAAGCATGGTGTTCCTTCCGAACTTGTTGTGAAGGTCACTCTTTTAGATGGATAGTTGGAAAATAAAGAGAAATCCAGTGAGGAGGTATAAACTTCTCTGGCCAAGTAGGAGAAAGAGGTTACAGATACTCTAGAGACCCTTGCTTCTTCTTCCACCAGGGCCACAGAGGCAGAAACCGACATCCAGATAGAGAAAGATGGTCGCTTAAAGGAGACAAAGGTTCATGAAGACCGCCTGGTAGAATCGCTGGAGTCTGAAGATTTATAGAAGAAGGTTGAAGACTTGCTAAACGAGATCAAAAATCCTCCTAATGAGATCACCAACATTATGTGAACTGCCTTTCAAAATGCGTTAATCCAAATGGATATGTTTTGCATCGATGCGAAGATTCCTCGATAACTGCTGGATGTCGAGAAAGAGGTCGTGGAAGGAAAATTGGTTGGTGGCAAGTAATGAGTCTCATAATTGTATTAATCAATTGTGCTTGTATTTGTTGTTGGTTTTTCAGCTTTGTGTGACTTTGATTTATCGCTTTTCTTTACAGACAATTCTACTTTATTTCCTTGCGCCCGAGTTAGGTTATTTTTGTTGTTGCAGTCTTGCATGATTTTATTTTATCATTCGGTCTTTCATGATTTTATTTTATCATATAGTCTTCAATAATTTTATTTCATCATATGATCTTTTATGATTTTATTTCATCATATAATCGTACCGTCGGTGAGCGATTGTTTTGCTTAGATGTCTATGTTTGCCCCGTTAGTTGTGTAAATTGTGTAAAAATAATCATTCAGCTTAACTAAGATTATTGCATCATATTTTTTATAAGTATCATTTCGAAAGGCTTCAACTAGGGGTGTTCGTAGTCCGGTTTAGATCGATTTTGAGACAAAAAGTCATTCGGTCCAAAGATATAAAGAACATGCGATTTGGTTCGATTTTTGGATGACTAAAAACAAAATTCGATCCAATTCGATTCAATTTATGCGGTTTATTTTGATTCGGTTTTATTCGATTTTTAAAACAAAAATTGCATAAATACTTTTAAAACATTTAAAATTTTATTTTAATTAGAACTGACTACGGTTAAAAAAAATTAAATATTTTTTTATTTGGTTTTGTTTTAACAAACAAAAGGAAATTAGTCAATAATTATAGAATCTGCATCATTTAAAAATAGTGTACCTATTGAAATAATTATACAAAATGTTGGCGGTAGATTGAGAGAGACGAATTGAAATAAGAGAGAACGATTTAAATAAGATTGAAGATTCATCGAGGGAGGAGATAAAATGAAATGATGTTGGCGGTGATTTGTGTGGCTCTTGAAACATGTTTCCCAATAAAATGACATTCATTATATTTAATATTTATTATATTTTAGGGATGAATGAGATTATATCAAACAAAATATAAAATATGCAAAGGTTCAAACAAAAACATGTTTAATATTTATTATATTTTAGTTATTGAAACATAGTCTCAATAAAATCTCATATTTATTACATTTATTATTGATTATATTTTAAGAAAAGACATTTATGGAAAAGTGGAAGAATCCTAATAATGTTTTTAGATTTTTTTAAAAAAAATGCATATTCATTATATTTAATAAATGATGATAAAATAAGAATAAGTGAAAAAAATACTTTAGTTTAGTTTAGATCGGTTCGATTCTCATACAGTCAACTGAAAATCAATTCAAATTGATCGGTTATGCTATTAAGTGATCCAAACACATCCAAAAAAATTTGATTTTTTCAATTTTCAATTTTTTGATTCAGTTTTCAATTTCTTTTTTAGATTGAATTGAATTTGAACACCCCTAATTTCATCAGGTCCTACAGACTAACAATTTTTTTCTCATATGATCCTCCACTCAAATCAAATTATATACTCTTTCCATTTCTTTTTAAGTATCACTTTTTAAAAGAAAAAAATGATTTCTTTTTAAGCGTCACATTTCAATATTCAAGATAATATTGATCGTAGTTTTATCAAAATTATTCCTAATCATTATTATATATAGAGAGAAAATGTTAAATAAATTATTAAAAAATTAAAAAAATTATAGAAAAAAAATAACTATTATTTAAAAAGTAACAATAATCATTAGTTGTATTGATATTGATATGTGTAAAAAGTTAAAAAAATAACAATTAAAAAGTAAACGGAGAGTAATTAAACATGCATAAAAAACTACAATCAAAATTTAGAAATTGAAACTAAAGCCTATAACTCCACTCCCTCTCCCAAACATAGAATTGAATTATGTAAATATATGATTATCTGATTGCTCATCCTCCATTGTAGTCCCTTCCTCCGTTCTCTCTTCTTGGTGCTTGCTCTAGTTCTGGTCCTGGCTCATTATCCAACTCTTTCTCTTTTCCTTGCTACACCACTTTTGTTAAAGTATTCTTCCTTATCTCTTTCTGCAGCACCTTTCTCTTCTTCTCAGTTTCGGTTCTTCTTCTTTTCCTTCTCAATAATTCTGAATTTCTCTGTGGAAGTATTTTTCAGATGCTGCAACTTCGATTTAAGATGCTACATCGGTGGTTAGAGCAACATTTTTATTTCTTGATCCAACAACGATGTTTTTTGTTGTCTTTCCCTTTATCTGCTGAGCCATCCTTTTTTACTACAGCTGGTTGTTCTCCTCTTAAGATGTCCTTCGAAAATGTAGGAAATTCCGTCCTATTTATTCCACAAAGATTTCATCCTCGCTCCTATTATTGCATATTAAAAAATGTACGTGTTCCTAATTTTTGAACTTTTGACTGTTCTTAAAATTTTAGAACAAAAAAAGGACTCAATTGAACCAAAGTTAAATTTGTAACCCAATTATATTAAAAAGAAAATGAAGGGATCCAAAAGTTGCATATAGATGATACTTATTATTGAACCTTCTATAACTATGTTCCTGCTATAAGATGGAATTAAACTGCACAGCACATGCCAGTATCAGAAATTGTTTTACACTGAATGATATCTTAATAGCATAACCTGACTTGTAATCTAGCATCACATTTCTCGAAGAGAAAACAAGACTTTCCATTCATTAAAATAAACAAATTACCAGAGAGAATCCAACCTCCTTTCTATCTTGTGCATCTTGTTGCTTGAATGGAGAGCTGGTTGAGTGATAAGATCTGACCATCAATAAGAATGGAACACCGAAATTACTTCTTGATTACTTGATGCCGGTTTATTACCACCGGTTATCATCAACAGTTCCATCTAATATTTGAATAAACTCTAATGTCTTAAGTCCCTAATCAAATGAATAATGCATTGACTGATAAAAGTGAAAGTTCCAGTCGGATCAAATAACTCCAAATGCAAAAGCAAATATACATTGTATCCACTTCAGATGGAAGATTCTTAAAAGTGATGTACAAGAATAATCAATACAAATTGTGAATATAAGATTACATACATACATAAATCTGCCATACCATTTTTTTCAGTGCAAACACATAATATATGACCCAACTACTACAATACAATGTTTCCATGACCTATGTTGAACCAGTCTGAACTAAGAAGAAAATGGCATATCTTTTCTCATAAAAAAAAAAATCTAAGTTCAAACCTATAACTCACAAGCTCCATGTTCTTCAAACATCAACATCTGAACGTGTTGGGAACTCGATGCCCCTTAGTGCAGGTATGTTGTCTAAATCCTCATCTGAAAACAATGGAAGCAACCATAGGGCCTTCTTTGTGCCAAAAACCTATAAAAGAGGTCAAATAGATTTCAAACAACCGCGTATGTGACTGCATTCACAAACTATTAATTTATTTGGAGATAATGTAGTTACAATTACTTGTTTTTCTATCAACACTTCCAGCATTATTTCCATGTAGATGACTTTATTTAGTATTAAACTACATCAAATTTGATAGGTCCATGATAGAGAATATGGGCCCTGGTGGCAAGCCCAAAGTGTGGAGGGTCTAAAAACAAGGGCAAAGGCATGACTGAGGAGCTGGCAAAGAAAGTGTGTGGAAAGGGGGTGGCATGATGAATTTCTGCTTTAAGTCAGAGGTAGTGAATGAGGGCATCATGTGGTGAGATCATCATCGTAGTCAGAGAAAGTGTATTTTTCCTGTAGGACCTCAGCTCTTGGAGCAGTTAGAATCATACTCTGCTGCTAGTTCCCATTTTCAATAACAATACACCTTTCCACCAAATCTGTTTCTTGCATATTCTGCTTTATTATCCTTTTATTATACGTGATCATATCAAAGAGGATCAGGACCATCTAGTGTCGCTTATCACCCAGAGTAGAGACACAAAGGAGGGGAAAATCCGATGGCAGTGATGAATCCTTAGGCGTTGAGGTCAAGAAATTACTCTAAAGGTCCAAGGGTGACATGATGGATGAATTTCGTCAATCAGTCAAGTAGTTCGAGTTGCCAACGTTTAAAGGCGATGATCCTGCGGGATGGATTGAGCATGTAGAGAGAAGAGTTGTGAATTTTTTTGCAAAGAAAGTAGATCAGATGGAGAATAAATCAAACAACTAGAGGTAGAGGAAGACCTAGAAAGACTATTAAGAGAGACTATTAAGACAGATCTCAAGATTACCGAATTGGATAGAAACATGATCTTTGAAAGAACATTATGGCGTAATTTAATCCATGTAGGCGACCCTCACTTAGTGGAATAAGGCTTGGTTGTTGTTGTTGTTGATCATGCAGGGTGGATTATGCGTGCATAGATTTACTTCTGCGTCCATGATACGAGCCCTGAAGTGAAGCTAAGGTTGGCTCAATTGAGCATGAAGGGTCCTATGATTCACTTTTACAGAGCCTTGGCTAATGACGATGCCAATCTGACGTGGGAAAAGTTGAAGGATGCTCTACTGGAACGTTATGGGGAATTGCATAAGGGAACCTCTCAGAGCAACTTTCCGTTCTGCAGCAACAGGGTTTCGTGGAGGAGTATATTCGTGAGTTTGAGAAGTTGGTGGCGCAGATGGATAGACTTCTGCGTCCATGATACGAGCCCTGAAGTGAAGCTAAGGTTGGCTAAATTGAGCATGAAGGGTCCTATGATTCACTTTTACAGAGCCTTGGCTAATGACGATGCCAATCTGACGTGGGAAAAGTTGAAGGATGCTCTACTGGAACGTTATGGGGAATTGCATAAGGGAACCTCTCAGAGCAACTTTCCGTTCTGCAGCAACAGGGTTTCATGGAGGAGTATATTCGTGAGTTTGAGAAGTTGGTGGCGCAGATGGATAGACTTCCAGATGCTCAATTCACTAGCTATTTCATTTGTGGGTTGAAGGAGGGAATTAAGGGTCAAGTGCACAGCTTGAAGGCACTGCATCCAATTTCACACACCAAAGTGATGAATCTGGCCAGAGCAATGGAGACCAAAGTGAAAGAGAAGAAGAGTGGATGGATCGGGTCACGTGGAAGCAGGTTGAACACCACCTTTCAGGTCCAATCCTTCATCTGGCTCCAGGTCGAGTAACCCGAGTCGAGCCCAAGGGAATGATTGGTAAGAGGGAGCAAAGAGAGTCCAAGCGTATTAGAAATGGGCATCCAACAAGAAGTGAACCCAAAACAGATAGGAAGTGAAACACTGCTCGGGATAGAGTTGTGAAGCATTTCTCCTATCACGAGAACAACACTGAACGAAAACAGAAGAGGCTTTGTTTCAAATGTGGTGGTCTGTTCCACCCACGTCACCAATGTCTGGAGAAAAAATTGTGAATCATGATTGCTGAAAATGACGATGCTGGTGACAGTGAGGCGCTGGTGTTGGCCGCCAAGACTGAGGAGGACATAACTAATGACTATGATGGATATGTACAACTCGTTAGAGGAGGAGATGAACAAACCCCGCACCATAAAGTTGAGAGGCAAGGTGTGTGGGGTTCCTGTGCTGCTTTTGGTGGACAGGAGAGCAGCACACAATTTCTTAGGACTTCATTTCTAGGAGACTAGTACATGCTTTAGGCTGGGAGGTGGAAGCTGTACCGACTCTAAGGCTTTGTTTGGAAGGTTGGAAGAAAAAGGAAAGGAAGGGCTTTGGGGGAGAGAATTCAGAGAAAAAATAGAAAAATTTGTAACATTTTTTGAAATTGTATTTTTGTATAAAATGATAACTGAATGATGAATGTTTATCATTACTACATTTTTAATTTTCAGAATATTATAAATAACAATATATTTGAAGAATTTATGTAAGCCCTCTAAAACCCTCCTCCAATATAAATTTTGAGTTCCTCCAAACTAGAGGGATTTTGTATTATGAATAAAACCAAACTCTCCAAAATCCTCCCAACCAAAATTCTTCAATTCTTTTCACTCTATCCTTCCCTTTTTTTTTTAAATTCTCTCCTCCCTTCCTCTCCAAACTCCCAAACAAAGCCTATGAGTTAAGGACTAGGAGGTGGAAGCTCAAGGTATGTGTAGGAAGCTGATGATAGAGATTGATGGGCTGAATTTAGAATTTGATGCTCAACTATTTGTATTGGACGGTGTGAATGCAATTCTGAGTATGTCGTGGTTGGAATCAATTGGGGGTATGTGGATAGATTGGGAGAATAGATAGGGTGAAGAGAGTATGAATTTCAAAGTAGAGGACAGGTGGATTGGATGGAAGGGGGGAAAGGCATGCAAAGGTGAACCGCGAGGCCCTCCAAAGTCTGTTTAACAATTTAAAACAGAGGGCAGTTGTTTCCTAATCACTAAGGAGATTTGAAACTAGAAGTAAGTGGGAATCAAGGCAAAAAATCCCAATACTAAAAGACAACAACAGCAGATGCAGAATTTGCCTGAGAGGTACTTTCAGGTTTTCACTTAACCAAAGGGATTACCTCCTAGGATGAACCGGGAGCATACCATACACCTGCTGGCAGGACAGGGACCAGTCAATGTCAAACCGTACTGTAAGTGGAAAAAAGGTTGTAAACAGGAGTGATCAGACCCAACCAAAGTGCTTTTTCCAGTCCAGTTATTTTGGTGAAAAAGAAAGGAGGGGACGTAGCGGAATGGATATGTGTGGATTACCGTGCACTAAATAAGGTAAGTGTCCCTAATAAATTCCCCATACCTGCAATTTATGAGCTGATTGGCGAGTTAGAGTGGAGCGCAATATTTCTCCAAACTTGACCTTAAATCTGGAAACCACCAAGTGCAAGTGCAACAGAAAGATGTTCACAAAACAGTATTCCGCACTCACTGAGGAACATTATGAATTTTTAGTCATTCCATTCGGCTTGATGAATGCTCTGTCCATATTTCAAGCATTGCTGAATGAGATTTTTAAACCACGGTTGCGGAAGTGCGGCCACCAGAAGTATGTGGTCACGGCTCCAGGAGGGTTTTGCAGCACCTTCCCATCTTCAGTCAGACCTACTTAATCACAGGGCTTCCTAAATCCTGGGGGTTGAAGCAATATTTGTGGTGGTGGATCGGTTGACAAAGTACAACCATTTTGTTCTCTTGACACATCTGACATCTGTATACATTCGCTTACATACATTGAGTGCCCACATCCATTGTGAGTGATAGGGATCCCATCTTTGTGGGTAATTTTTGGAGGGAGCTCCTCAAATTGTAAGGTACGCACCTACGGGTGAGCATGGCTTACCATCCTAAAACTAACGACCAAACCGAGGTGGTAAACCAATAATTAGAGACATTCCTGCATTGCTTTATCGAAGATTAGCCTGAGACATGGGCTCGCTAGTTACCATGGGCCGAATATTGGTACAGCATCACTTTTTACGCTTCAATTGGCTCGACTCCTTTTGAAGCGGTGTACAGAAGACCACCCCCCACTATCATTCGTTTTCTGCCTGGAGAGACTAAAACGGAAGCTGTTCAGCATGATTTGATGGACAGGGATGAGGCACTGCGGCAGCTCACGTACCACATACAACGTGCTCAAGGTCGTATGAAGGATCGGGCTGACCATAAAAGAAAGGAAATTCATTTTTAGGTAGGAGATTGGGTGTTTTTGAAGTTGAGGCCACATGTACAGCAGTCTGTTGAAGTACGGGTCCTAAATTGGCTCCTCGCTATTATGGACCCTTTTAAGTGCTTGAGAAGGTTGGGGCTGTCACTTACAAACTCCAGCTTTTGGAATCCACAAGGATTCACCCCATCTTTCATGTCTCTTTGCTGAAGAAAGCTTTGGGAAATTATAGGGTGGAGAAGGAGCATCCTAAAGGGAAGGCCAGCAATGTGGCTAATTCTTGGGAACCTGTGAAGGTGTTGGCTACTCGAATCATTAGTAAAGGAGGGGAATCTGTGAGCCAGCTGCTGATCCAATGGAAAGGAAGGTCATTGAGGACGCTACTTGGGAGGATGGTTTCACAATTCGCAGTCAATTCCCTAATCTCAGACTTGAGGACAAGTTTTTTTCTCTAGGAGGGGGCAATGATGGGTCCATGATAGAGAATATGGGCCCTGGTGGCAAGCTGAAAGCGTGGAGGACCTATGTAAGGAAAAACAAGGGGAAATGCGAGACTGGCAAGCTGGCAGAGAGAGAGTGGAGTGAATTTCTGTTATAAGGAAGTTACTAGTTAGAGTTAGTGAATGAGGACTATCTACTTGGTGTTTTTCTCTCTCCAAATAGAGCTCTCCATTTTTTTTTGAGAAATGGACAGGATTCTAACCCGTATGGAATAGCATTTTTATACTTTACATTATGTCATTCATTCTCGATCTCCCTCTCACTTTTCCTTTTTTCTTGGCTTTAGAATCCTCTGAAGTGCAAGTTAATCTTGTAACTTATAAGCACGGAAAATCTGAAAAAATAGGAATTGAACATTATATCATTACTTATGTTCCCTATAACTTCATTCATGGAAAGAAACCTACAAAGTAGCTTTTGAAACAATGTTAAATTACTCCTCACTTAACTAATTGCTTAGTGTTCATACACTTAAACCAGAGATATTTAAAGAACATATTTTCTATTTTACTTTATTAAGTATTAACTCACATATATAATGAATAGTTAAATATTGTGAAACAATTTTACTTTATTGTTTAACCATCATTTTGTAGTCTTTGGCTACTTGATATTCGATATTACCTGCTCAAAGTTTTTCTTCCTTCCCAAGTCATACCTCCACCTGATTCCTTTTTTCTTCTCATGAACCTAAAAATATTATTTTCCCAAATGATCTTTTTAGATAAAAGAAATCACTGAGCTGCAGGAAGAATAATCAAGATCGTACAAGGCTGATATCTTAGTTTTTTTAAAATAATGCCAAATTGTTTTGAAAATTACCTGGTAGTTAGTGTACCAGGCTTTTGTAAAGGTCGTCAAAGATGACAAAACGGTTTTTGATGATTCTGTTGTAAAAGCTTAAAATAAGCATTGCATGATTTCTATGTCAATAGAACAAGAATATGTGGGGGTGCCAGGTATAGTTTGACAATACTGGTGCATAAACAATAGCATGAACCCTAACCAATTTCAAAGAGGTAAATAAAAAAACAAAAATTGTATTGATACCTCTACTGAAGTTGTGTTGCTTAACAGAAGAGATAAATGCATAACTACGAAACAGAGAAGACTCAGCGCAAAGGCTAAATTGAGAACTGCATCAAGGCAATCAATCTGTAAGGAGCAATAATAGTCACGACAATGCAATAAAAAGCTAGTCTGAGTAACTTGGTTTATATACAAGAAAATCATGTATACTTACTAGAAGTCAAGAAAATTGCAGAAAAGGCCCCGGGAGACAATTTATGAGTCTTGGTTGAGTTGGTTCCCCCAAAGAATCTAATAAAATTAGGTATCAGAGCTAAGCAAACCAGTGTTGTCTCGAGGAATGTATACAGCTACAAATGTTGGGGACAAAAAAAAGTTAGGAATAGCATACTAGAAGTAGCAAGTCAAGTCATTCAACTTAGTCTAACAGAAATTGCCTATACTTTCGGTTCATGTTAGCAAAGTATACATAATCATTGTATGCTGATAGAGCAGTTATATTAATGTAAAAATCCACAAATCTCTTAATAAAATTTCACTGTTACATGCCAACAACTTTCAGATAAACAAATGTTCACCTAGTCATTTCTCAATGAATAGATTCACAAGAGCAAGGGCTTAAGGAATTGACAATTGATTTTTTTACTTGAACAAAAGACACAAATCCCTACTACAATTAATTACATATGGCTATTAAGGGATAAAAAGTAAGAAAGATTTACCAAGAAGAGAAGAAAATACTTGTAATTCCGTGCCCCAACACAATTAACCACCCAAATACAATGATGATCCATCTTAAGAACACACCTTTGACCTAAGAAAATTAGCAAGACAGTTCATATAACACGTTCATAATAATAAACTAACTAATATGAAGCACAGACATCAAAAACACGACCTGACCCGGACACATCGACGCCAGTAATAATTTTTAAAAATGGACAAATTAAACACCGACACTTACACGTCGACACCGGTAATAATTTTAAAAAATGAATAAATTAAACAGAATCACAGGTGTCGTGTTGCTGTTGGTTTCGGACAGATGTCGGTACTACAGAGCTAATTAATGCTATATTAGTAACAAGCTAAGGTGAAACATGATTGATTGAAAAAAAAGATGAAGAGCAAAACCTAATTGATTCAAACAACAAAATGGAAATGAAAAAAAAAAGTTACAAATAGAGCAGTGATGACAACGCGGCGGCCTGGCGCTTTGGCACCGAGTACAATAACCAACGGAAGATGTTGCTGTTGCCACCGCCACCTCCTCTTCGAATTCGCCGGAAGTTGGCGGAACTGCAACATGTAAATTGCGGTGATCATCTACCTCCACCTGCAAAAACTGTTGATGCGGTCTCCAATTTTGAGGAACAGAACCTGGATCTTTGAGAACCGCCATAGAATAAGACCAAGTTAACAGCACAAGCTACAAGTAAATAATCAAATAATCAAATAAATCACTTAATTAATCGAATTATAGAAATTAATTAGAATCGACGTGAGAATGAGTGAGTGAGTGAGTGATTACGAGAGTGTGAAAGATGAGGAGAATGAAGAAAGCTAAGAATGAGAACGACGGAAACAAGAGTGGGCCCCATGTGACGAAAACGACGGCGTAGTAAGTGAGAGAAACGATGGCGGCGAACAAGAGGATCATGAGGTAGCCGAAGACTCTGAGAAAGGAGCAGAACTTGAAGAGGTTGATGTTGAGCATTGTTGGGAATGGGGGGAGAATTCGTCTACTGGTTCTTCGTGTTGGGAAGAGGCGTTTCCATGTATCTGATGAAGCCAGGGTTGATTGGTAGATTGGTATGGTGCTTCGGTTCTGCCTTGGTGGTGATGAAGTAACTACTTTGGGTTTCGGGTTTCACTTCTACTTTTCTTTCTCTCAACTCGAGAAACTTTGCTTTTTAGAAGACGGGTTACATTTTGGTCGACTCGACTCGACTCGGATCTAAATCACAAACAATTAAATATCGTAGAATACAACAAGGTGATTTGGGGTGTATTAGCCTATGTTTTAAAATTTGATTCTTTTAGCCTTATTTTTATGAGAGAAAACTTTATTGATATCTGAAACGTTCAACATGTGTAGCTATATCGATAAAATTGTAGAAATTAGCAAATGACATGGTTACTCGTGTCAAGGCATGAATAACTTCATTAATTTGTCTTCTAACGAATTTAATATATGAGTTCATATGGTGAAGTGCTAACAAATGTATGTATTCGGTGATAATAGTATTGAAATCAAGCTTAAAGTTCAATTTAATTAAGGACAAGGTCGCATGTCCCGTTTGACGGTTGGTTAAGGTTTTTCCTGTATATCAACGTCAGTGATAGGAGAAAACCACTTGTTTCGAGCTAATACAAATTATCATTTTTTATCTCGGATACATGTTTCAATCCTTCCTTATTATGAGTCGGTGAGAAAGATGTGTTTGACGTTACATTTAAAATGCCCTACAAAAGATTTTGTCCAAGTGATAGGTGTAGAGTTTTGAGCTTTGGTTGTAGGATTCGACTAGAGGTGTTATGAATTTCTCCATCCCAAGAAAAGGTCATATGCATGAACATAAATAGTCTTTGTTGATTTTTTATGTGGTTCCATATGTAGTTGTTCATACACTTTCAAATACCCCGCGATATGAGTGAGAATAAAGCTTTTTGGTCCTAATGTAGAACTCGATAAAGAAAAATATTATTGTTGCAAAAAGGGTGGTATAACTCAGTGTTTCTTACATAATAGGTCTGAGCCTCACTTTTTCCCAACACCTAACACTCTTACGAAAATGTAAGAATAAGTGTTTGTCATCTTCAATTCCCTTCAACGCAGAGACCACAAGAAAGGCATTGGATACTTTTTGCTTGTTATTAGTTGTGTCATGTTTCTTTGAATTTTGTGTGCAAGTATATATAATCAATATAGTAGCAAGTGAGAAAAGTATCAATCTCGCAAGTATTGAGATTAAATGTTTTCATAAATCATTTGAAACAAGCAACACAATTCATGAGCTAGCAAAAGAATAATATTGTATATCATGTAATGAGGTTACATAATAGCAAAAAATAATAATAATGTTGAAATGGAGTACGTGAAGATGTTGGACAATGATTTATTCCATTATTTTATCTAATGATCATGGTGACGTATGGTTCCATGTTAGGTGAAGTCATGACTTAACCTTGTGGCTTTTGTTAACATAAAAATATGAAATAGTTCACTAAGATCACCTTATGCCTAAGACGTTCTTATCACTATTACACTTCAAGTAAAACTTGTCATGTTTACCCATATGACTCTACTCTTTTATGCTTAAAGTAATAAACTTGTGTGTCCGTACAGGTCAATTTATTTGATATGATAAAATGTATTTAGATACACCTGCAAATTTAAAATGAATTTTGACAAAACTATATTTGGGGTGATAAAGTTAAAATAGGTTTGACAAATATGTTTCAAGTTTTAAATTAAGCAATGGAATATGCTTCACTTGTGCATATATGAATAAACAGTTTTAAAGATTTTAGAAAAGCATGTTATGATATTGTTAGCTCCTAAATTCGATACCCACAATATATTGGTCTTATTGGCTTAAAAATAGATTGAAGAAATCTAAAGTTGCCAACACTTCGACCAGAAGAGCCTAAAACACTTAGAGAATTTTCTAAGTTAAAGTTGGTCTTCGATCAAGAAGTTTTTTGTAGTCTTCGACCGAGAGAATCTTGTGGTATTCGACTGAAAGATACTTGTATCAGCAAGCAAGTGAATTTTGAATCTGAAGAAAGAATGGAAAGGCAGTTCACTTGGCAGTTGAGGAAAGCGACGTGGCATGAAGATAGAAGTCGAAGCACATGCAGAGGACACTTGTCCTCATCCTGGAGCGAGGCAAATGTTCGACGATTACTTAGTTTTAGTATAAATATAGGGATTTTATGTAGATTCCCGTGTGTTCAACTTTTTAGTACAAGTCACTCAATCATATCTGAGTACCTACTGCGAGAGAAAAGATATTGAGAATGTACGTTTGAAACACCATCTTCTATTTCAATCAAAGTCTTTACAAGTCCTTTACATTCCTTGTCGTTTACATTCCTGCGCAAACTTTATCATTACTGCAAATTTACTTTATTCTGCCTTTTACTTTCACTTTTTATCATTTTTCAACTTTTATCCTTAAACTCTTCTCAACCCTTTCTACTTACCTTTTTACTTGAACTTTTATCAAGTTTTCTGCTTGCATCTTGCCTTTGCTCTTAATTTCCCTCTCAACCATTTTCACTTAAACTCACTTACTTATAAAAAAACTCAACATATGTCCTAGGATCAATCTGATTGATTCTGTAAGTCACCAAAATAACCCTTTTGGAAGACCAGCGGTTGTTTACCAATTTTCACGGTAAACAAATTGGCACACCTGGTGGGACGTTGCTAAAGTCTTTTATTTTTTATAAACTTTGATAAAAATAGTTTTTATCATAAATGCTTCAAGTAGTTTCTTTTCTTTCAAAGATTGTTGTATGTTATTAAGAAGTGGCAAAACAACCATAAAAGAATACGTACCTAAGAAAAGAAATAGTACAATGGCTAATCAGTCTAGTGGAGAAATGCCTTCACCAATTTCTGGCATTGAAACTAGGGTTATACCCACAATTAGTGAACCTTTTCCATCAACGGCTGGTTCGACACCAGCAGTCACGATTACGCAAACAGGACCAATACTTTCTTATGTAGGTCCTAGGGGTCCACCAGAAACACCCCCACCAAGGGAAAATCCAAGAGTTCGACCCTATATCCCTCCAGGATTTTCGACGGCATGGATGGGTCGGGACCAATCCTATGGCATGCCAACTACTAAAATGGTAAGCCTTATGAATGTTGCGTCCACATTTTCAGACCCCTTAGTGAGTGCATCTTCGCCATTGCAGGGATCTGGAACTGGTATGGAAAATTTGGGTAGGAACCAATTCTTAGGAGGAATATCCCATACGATGCCAAGCCTTACAAATGCTTCTAAAATAATCCTGAGGCAACAAATGGATGAAAGTAACCATGACATGGTGAAAATGTTGGCACAAACTTTGAGTGCAGTGCTAAACCCTCTGATATAAAATACCACCCAGTCGAATTAGCAAATGACAGCGCAAATGACGTGCATGGCTGAATTTTTTAGGATTCCCTAACCTATTCAACAACCTTAAAGAGAGTTGATAAGAGGAAATCAAGGTGTAGTCTTAAAGAATGACATGACCATTAACCAAAACCCACAGCCAGTAGGAATAAACCATAAAGTGGAGATCGAACAACCTAGAGTAAAAATACCCAGGGTTGCCCCACAAATCCCTAGAGTTGTCGAACAAGATATAGTAATGGTAAATAGAAACCAAAATGCTGATGAGGTAATACAGCAGGTTCGACACCATAACTATGCGAGAGATAATAACTTGACAGCCATGTTCGAAAAGATCATGGCATAGAATGGAGTGAATATTGGCTTTCATAGGTGTAATACGGTGGGAGAACTGACTTGGGATGTTTTGCGTTTGATCACAAATGTTGCGGTTAGTCAGAGTCGCCACGACTTTTCTTTTACCCAAAAGGAAAGGCTGAAAAGAACAGGAAATACCTTTTAGATTATTTCTTGAGTTCAGGGGGTAGATTATGAAAAGGGAAGGTGTTAGCACCATTTTCATCCATAGTTACCTATGGGCTCTTAGTTGCTTGCTAGATCGCTTGCTTTTGTTTGAAAATGTGCTTTGTGTGTTTTTTAAAAGTATTTTGAAAAGGCGCATTCGTTTAGGCAAACTTTGTAATGGTTCTCGTTCGTAAGAACGTATACAAAGTGTTGGACTTTTGGAAATATTTTAAGTTTTGAAAGTGTTTGGTGTTTGTTTTGAAAATAAGCAAGGATGTTTATTTTGAAAGTGAGCAAGCAACTAGGAACAATCTACCTACTCAAAAGTCTTTTGTTCATTTCCTCCTTTCCTTTGATATTGCTATCTTACCATTGATTGGTAAGAATCCTTATCTTTGGATGCAAAGGGACGGGTGTGGGTCATCGTATAGTCGTGATAGCAATGTTGTGAGATGTCTTAGCATTTTTCTTTGAGGGACTAAAATCATTTGAAAGGCAACATTTGTAGCGTCATCGAGGGACTATGATCTTGTATTTTTTATTTGTTTTTGCTAAGACATCTCACATGCATAACATGACCATTTTTATAAGGCAACAAGTGGAATTACCCTAAGGGTGCAAGTGTGTAAGTGTGTTTGATTTACATGCATTGTTTATCTTGAATTTAGGGTTTACTACTTATTGATTTTATCTTTCCATACAAACTCTAATTACTAACATTTATATGAAAGCGATAAATTGCAGAAAGTAAAATTACTATGCTATTACATTATTAGGGGTGGGGGTATACAAATTTACTAATGGGGATTGCGAGAAAATTAAACCTAATTATTTATTACAACCATATTGAATAATATACAAGAATTGAAAATATAATGTACAAGAAAAATAAATGGAAAGAAAAATGATTTTTTGTTTGATTTTAATGAAAGGGTTTAGTCTTGACCTAATTAAGAAAATAATTAATTAAAATTAAAACCTAAACTAATTAAGAAAAAAATTAAGTTAGAAAGCATTTTTAGGTTTTTTTTATGAAAAGGTTTTAAGTTTAATAAAGATAATATGGAAATTAATTAAT